TGAAAAACTACCTGAAATGCAGTTCAGGAAAGGAATCCTTTTGCTTTATCTGGCTCCTAGATGGTAGCAGCTGGCTGTTCGTTTGCAGTCAAATGCCTTTCATGGCTTAAGGATTTCCTTGCTAGATGAGATCAAAGGTCCTCCTGCTGCCCCTTCCAGTCTCCAGAAGTGGCAAGCCAGGGGTTGCTGGAAGCTCAGAGTCGTGGCACCACCAAGGTGCTGCCCGTCTCGTCTTTATTTCCAGCGTTGCTGCTTCTGAACAAGATTCCATTTAGCTTTCACAGCCAACAGACACTGGTGGATCTGTCCTCTGTGGCTTAGTTCAGTGTTTCCCAAACTTGGGTCTCCAGCTGGTCTTGGACTACAGTTCCCGTCTTTGACCACTGGTCTTGCTAGATAGGGATGATGGGAGTTGTAGTCCAAAAACAGCTGGAGACCCCAAGCTGTGTGGAAAGCTGTGGCCATCAAAGAAACTGCTTAGGCTCATAATCCTATCGCCAGTTAACTCCAGATGCAGTTTGGCCTGTAAAGAGTATAGTCTGAACATAGATAGTCTGGCTTCTATACCAAATAAATATTTGCACACCAAGTCCCACATGCTATGTAAATAGCTGTGATGCAAACCTGAAATGGATAGCATGAATGCAGGCTTTGAGTTCAAGGATCTGCTCAGCTAGCCTTGTAAATAAGCCCAGAAAAGTTAACATTCTGCAGCATTTTTACTGGCCTGACAGAGGAGAGTCAAAAGTTGCATTTCTATGCTGGGCACCAAGTGAGGGGGGGTCCCCTCTTTTCAAAGCCTGCTTGGTTTCTATGCTGGGTGGAGTGGAGGGACGAAGGCCTCCTCTTTCTCCTCCATCTCCTTCAGCATGCTCACTCGCCTGCACAGAATTCCATGCACACACCTGCATGCAATTTATGGGTGCCTGTGGCTACCAGGTTAGCACTTAAATACAAGGCTCTGCTCAGCTGCAGGATCGGGTCTCTCTCCATCCCGCCCTGAGATACTCTTTCACCTCTGGCATTCCAAAGGATCCGAACTCATCATTTCTCTACTGATACCATGGAAAAGTCTCCCTTGCCAGGCTGCTATTCAGTCAATGGCTTGCATTTATTCTCTGATCAGCTTGGTCGATAGCCCAAGAGGCTGTTGTGTATTGGGACAGCTGTAAGTGTGCCTGAGTCCCCAGGGATGGAAATCTACCTCTTGTGTAAAGAGGAGAGAGCAGATAGCATCTCGTGGATGTGGATAAAAGTGTCCTCATGCAAAGCCTCTCTCTTGTTCCTTTGTTCCCACAGACAACCTTGTCTCGTTTCCTTGTCTGTCATGTGCTGGGAAATGTGACTTCACTTATTTTCCATTGGGCCATCCCTAATCCTTGAGTGTAATTGCAACAACTCATTTTTATGCTGCCTTGATTATTTTTTAAAAAGCATGAGTTAGTGGAAAAATCCCGACCTCCTCTATTGCAGCTGCTTGGAGATAAGATAGTTCATTCTATTTAAAAAGGAGGGAGGAAAAGCACACTAAGCACAACACGTTTAAGGGATGTTTATTTAAGGAAATCATTTATTCCTTAGTTTTCAAGGGGGTGGGCGGAAGCAGACAGTTTATTTCCAAAACAGCTATTCTGGCTTGACCTAATGTACCTAACATGACAGTGAATGCTTATTGCTCTGGTGTTTCCTGCACTGCTGTTAACTATAAGCATCAGCTTGGAATACTTTTGTTTCCACCCCATGGATGCGCTAAATCAGTGCCAAAGATCTTTGCCGAATTTTAAGACTGCAATCGGTTAATATTGCAAGTCCTGCATGACCCACAAGACACATACTGTCTTGTGTATGGGGGAAGATTTTCTAAAGGGGTGGGGACCTCCTGGTGTTGCTGGACTATGATTCCCATCACTCCTGACCACTGTCCATGTTGGCTGGCGCCCGTAGGAGTTGGAGCCCAACCACATCTGAAAGACCACAGATTCCCCATCCGTGCTGTGCAGCTGCACAATTATTATTGTTTATTTATGAACTTCCTTTCACAAGTGTGTCAAGGTGATTTACAAACACAACATGGAAATGGCTAAGAGTAATTTTTGAAAACAGTACCAGAAACAGCTGACTACAGTGGTACCTCGGGTTAAGTACTTAATTCGTTCTTAACCTGAAACTGTTCTTAACCTGAAGCACCACTTTAGCTAATGGGGCCTGCTGCTGCTGCCGCTCTGCTGGAACACGATTTCTGTTCTCATCCTGAAGCAAAGTTCTTAACCCGAGGTACTATTTCTGGGTTAGCAGTGTCTGTAACCCGAAGCGTATGTAACCTGAGGTACCACTGTATAGGCTTAAAAACCATGGAAAATGAACACCTGGAGAAACCTTATCTATGCAGAAAAGCTTGTCAACACAAAAGTGCCTCCAGTTAATTTTGCTAAATGCAGGTAGTGGGCGCCGGTCTTAAGCCCCACCAGGAGGGCAGCCTTGCCAAAGACCCTGCCTGGAGTTTCTGTTGAGGGAACGTCTGATAATTTGGGGACTTGAAGGCGAATTTCCTGTAGAATGCGAGGACCTACTGGGTACACAAGGGATAAGGTGGGCTCTCAAGTAACCTGGTCCTGAGTTCTATAGGGTCTAGTAGCAAAACCTTGAACGTGGCCTGGATTGGCAGCCACAGAAAATCCCTCAGACAAGGTGTTATGTGCTGGCAAGTAGTTTGGAAGCGCATAGCTGGGTGCATACTCACAAGCACTCTGTCAGTAGGCTGCAAAAACTTGACTGATTCCACAAAGCACAGCTTGATGGAGCACTGGGAAAGCCCACTTGGAGCTGCATCAGCTGTGGCGCCTGGCTCACTGATGGAGGCAAAAATCTGTGTCTTTAAGGTGCCCATCAAGTGAATCCCCACCATCTCCAGGAGAGCTGCTACTGATACTAAGCTCTTGTCTGACTGGGCAAGGCAGCTTTCTATCTTCCTATGACTTCGACTGCAGGCTGGCACTCTTCATTTCGCAGCCCAGAGTCTGCTGCTTTCTCCCCAGGAGTCCTGAAGTTTTGTAATTGGCCAGCATCCTTGTGCAATGAAGAAAAGGGGGGCTCTGTTGATGGAGCCTCCTTTGTCTTAGGCCGCAGGTAGGAATCTTGTTGTTGGACTGCAGCCTCCATCAGCCTGATGGTACCCAGGCCAAATACCTACTCCAAATTGCAGACTGGCTGGCTCTGGGAGCAGCAAGCAGGTCATTCAGCTTAGGAAGTCCACCATCCACTTTCCTTGTACCTTGACTATTCTCCTGCAGCCTCTGGTGATAACAGGCAGCAGGATGCAAGGGGAAAGAACCGAGTGAGGTCTTGTATTTTGAGTTGCCATAGCATAGATACGAAAAATAGAAAGCCCTGAAACCCTGTGATGGGGCAGAGTAGAACAGGTTTGTTCTGAAGGAAAAGAAACGGGTACAGTTCTGTTGTGTTGCGGGATGAGGCAAATTGCCTCGACATCTGGGAAATACTAACTGGAGCAGAGGAAAGTTGGCTCAGTTTCCGTGTAGCACAGCTGGAACGACTGGTGTTCATCATGGGACTGGCCACGGGCAAGAATGCAACACATTGGAAAGGAGGGTGGCACAAACTGCCTAGAAGGAAAACTTATTCCTAGCTTGTATTCCTACTTGTAGATGTTAGAGGCTTCAGACTATCACTACTACTACCTGCTGAAATAATGCGTGAGGGAGCTGTGTGGACCAGTCTCTTGTGCAAGCACACATGCAGGCGGCAAGAACTGATGGGAATACTCTGTATTCTTGAGCTTGTGGCAAGTACCAGAGTTGAGTGGTGAACTTTTCACGCTACTTGGTCTCTAGGTGTTCTTTGGCCAATTTTTAAAGATTCTTCTGGAAGCTTTAGGGTCAGCATTTGAAATTTGCCAGGCGCATTTTGCACCTGGCTATCGGTCACTTGCGACAAAGATGCCCAGGTGCCAGGATCTGGAAGTGCATGCCTGGGATCCAGGGATCTTGCCTGTTTTCACACACAAACAACATATATTGTAGAATTGTATCTGTGATGTTTTATTTGCACAACCGGAACGAATTTCAGGAACCAAAAGGTTGTATTGAAAAGTACCACTAGCTTGTGTATCTGTTTAGGGCCCAATGTAGAGCTGCTTTCACTAGGTGCGTTCAAGAGAAGGGGCACCCCATGCAAGCTGGTCCTTCACCAGAAAACCTGTTTTGGGGCTATGCTAATACAGTTTGTCAGAGGCAGCCTCTAAATTGCATCAGCCCAGTTCGGGATAGCTCAGTTCTGTATATGAATGCAGTATTAACTATTCCATATGAGCAACAAATCATTAAACAAAGCCTTTAAAAATTAGAAAATGTTCAAAAAACAAACGGTAATTTGGGCACATGCAAATCATCACTGGAAGCTGTAGTCAAAAGTCATGAACACACATGTTTCCATGGGACCATCAGAACTTGGATACTATTCCGTATTACCAAGAACAAATGTTTTTCATTGGCGTCCATTCAGTCATAATGTACATCTTTTACGTATTGGAATATTTCAGACAAGTTGTGTGTAGGGGACACGTTGGATTTCAATCTAATTAAGATCAGGTTCGGTACTGATTTGTAGGCATCGGCAATCTCCCTATCTCAACTGTTCAATGTGGGAAGAAGTTTAAAGAAGATGATTCTATTCACTGAACATGCATTGCAGCTGGCCACATTACGAGCTAGCCCAATAGCTTGAAGCCAGGTTTCACCCAAACAACACTTGCAGGAAAGATCGGCTTGCCTTAGATCATATGTGTAGTTTACTGATCAGATGGTTGGCTTTTGATGTGGCAGACCTAGGTTCAAAATCTTGTTCAGCCATGATGCTCACAGTTGGAACCCTGGACCCAAGGCACTGCCTACCTCACAGTTATGATAAAAAGAGATGAGAATGTCAAGCATACCTCACAATACTACAGAAGTGCTGACTATTGTAAATCTTTTTGTTTTCAGATTTTCCCTGACCCTTCAGACTACGATCGTTATTGCAAGCTGAAGGACCGTCTGCCTTCCATTGTAGTCGAGCCAACAGAAGGAGATGTCGAGAGCGGAGAGCTAAGATGGCCGCCTGAGGAGTTCCTGGTCCAGGAACAAGAGGAAGAAAACTGTGACGAAGCAAAGAAAGAGAGCAAGGAGCAATAGAGTCTTCTGTACGACTTAAGATGCCATGTCATCTTGAAGGGGGGAAGAGAACCACAACTGTTTTGAAAAGTCTTTTTTTCTACAAAAGACATTCAAATTTTGCACCTGCAAAAAGATCTTAGTTTTTTCATATTCTCTATTGAGAACTGAAGCGCTTGACATGACAATCTCCAAATGAAAGCAAGGAAGGCAGTTGTGCCGTAGTGGAAGGGGGACGGCTGCTCTTCTCAAGATGGCTGTTGAATTTTGTTAAGGTTATCTGGGGGTAGCCGTGAAATTGCAGGGCGCTTTGGTGGAGGATCAGACGGGCAGGAAACACGCTTTTTTTCTGAAGTGTGTGGGGTGGAAGAAATGACTGCAGATGTGTAAAATGCAGCTGCCTCTGGCTATAAAAGCATGAGACTAGTATTCATCTCTCAAAACTTTGCCTTCTTATAGTGCTTTGGTTTTTGGTTTTTTGGTGTGTATGTGTGTGTGTGTGTGTTGTGGGTTGAGAGGTATGAATACATGCCACTGAAATGCTCCGATGACAGTAGAGTATGGCAGGTCTTTCCTGCTGAACACCATCGAGGAGCAACGGATCAATAACGTTACCCCGTTCAGTATCTTTTCTTTCTTAAGTCGCACACCTTGTTGGGAATGTTGGTGCTTGGCACTTGCTAGCCCAGCCCGTTGCAGACAAAAGCCATCTTCGCCTTCTCACCCCCCCCCCCAGCCCCCTCTTAAAATATGCATTTAAATTCTAACCCGAATGGGTCTTGTGACCGTGATAAAGGTATTGACTGACTTACATTTAAATCTTACAGCGGTGAATCTTCTTTTCATTGGCACAGTGCTGATGACTTTACAAAATGATCCTTTGCCACTTTTCTGCAATAGCTTTGTTTATCCTGCACATGGTAACGAAACAGGTTGAGTTTGATTTCCCTTTCTTTTTTTCAAAAACAAAACAAAACAAACTTCAATAGATTTTTGCCATAAAATTATTTTCCGGGCACCAAAGCTGCTGTTAAGTCTCCCATCCAGAAGTACATCTAGTTGGGTATGAGATACCAGCTTTTCTAGTGGCATTGAGGGATGTGTGTAGTTTAACCATTTGCAAAAGCTGGATGAAGAGCTCACTTTATGACAGTGCATAATCTAACTTTGTCCAACAGATGCAGTGAACCCTAACAGAGCTTTGGAGATGATCTGAAGTTTTAACAGAAGTAATTGAAGGAAAGCAGGTCTTCTCTTCAAAGAAAAAAAAAGTATTATGGTCTCTCAGTATTCTGGAGAAGATAATATGCTTTTTGAACATATCTATGAGATTTTATTGATAGGCAGAAGCTTGTTCCCAAGATCTAAATTCCTAGCAACAGCTGCCGATATTTTTGTCCGATCTATCCTCTTAGGATGTGGAGAACAAATTGCAGGATAAGCTAAACTTGCTGCTTTCTAAGAAAGCAGAAGTCTTGACCACTTGATGGAAGTCCTTCCTGAGACTTCACAGTATAAAAGGACCACTCTTGAGAAATGAAAAGCCAATTGTTTCCATGTTTAATTCTGGAGACACTAAAAAGATGTAATAAATGCGCATCATGGCCTTAACAAGATGTTCAAAACAACCCCTAGTCTCGCACGTCCCTTGTTTATCGCCTCCCTTCCTTCTTTCTTAAAAAATCTGTTGGGACTTTGTGTATATATTTGTATTTGATACCTCATGAGTAGTAAAAACGCTGGTAAGGAGTTAGGGAATTTGCTTGTTTAAAATCAGCAGGATTAATCCCTCCCACCCCCAGTCTTTGTCTTGCTTGTGTTTTCAACATAATGGCAATAACTTTTTAACAGCTGTGAGTCATAGTTACATGTGGGCGTGAGGTTGCCTGAGTGTTTTTTATTATTGTTGTTGTTGTTATTATTATTATTTTAAGCATAATATAGGGATGTAGTTGGTGTTCCTCTGTATTCTTTTGGCAGCCAAGAACTTGTCACACATGTACTACCTATCTTGGTTAACAGTTTTGTCATCGCTGAAACCTGTCTTGCATCATTTCCTAGTCCAAGGTTGCTTTAAAACCAATGGATCCAGATGTTTTTCGGTCTTGTATGCTGGACATCTGTTCTCGTCTTGCTGTTCAGTAGAATGAGCTGTGATACCTGCACACCAGCCTGAACTCCCTAGTTTTATCTCCAAAAAGTTATTTCTCGTTTTGTTTGCAGATTTTGGTCCCAAGTTTTGAAGCTGTCAAATGTAAACCACTCAAGATGAGCAAAAATCCTTAATGCTTAAAAGATCAGAGTGGAAATGCTGTTTGTCTTTAAATATTAGCATATCCTTTTTGCGCCTCTCTTTTTTTAATTGTTGCTTGTATTTCTGTCATTTTTGAATGTGTCTGAAGAACAAAGCACTCCAGTTGAATTTCTCCTGTTGTATATTACATTCTATATTTCTGTAAAGTTCTTTTTTGAGCCTCAGGGAAAAAAAGCTTGCATTTTTTTCAGACTACTTTTGTCACTGTGACAGTTGTAAATAAAGTTTGAAAATGCTTTCCAAACCTCTTGCATTCATGTTTGCTCTCTTATTTCGTTTCCTTTCCCACAATCCAAGAAGGGTGGGGGTGGGTGATCTCTAGCAGTTTGAAATGGGTATGTGAATCCCTATCCAAACCCAAGTGTGCTGCTCTTGGAGTGCAAGCATTAAAGAGGATGGTACTGTATTGCAAATCTACAGCAGTTTGGGTTATTCAAATGAATTAAGCAAGAGAAAGCAGAAAAACCTCAACCATGTTTTCTGAATTGTGGGTTGGAGGATCCTGTTAGCTAAATATATCAGAAAATAGGGTGAGGCATCTGCTAGCTCTCCCCAAGAATAAACTGCATGCTTCTAGTACAAATCTTTCCCATCTAATGATCAGCATTTGGAAACATAACACATCTGTGCTTAAAAGGATTGCAGCTCAGTGTTACTGTATCTGTTTCTCATGCCAAAGGTCCCATGTTCAATTCCTGGTATCTCTAGGTAGGGCTAGGAATCTCCCCTGTCTGAAACCCCAGAAAGCTGTTGCCACCCAGCATGTAGATATTACTAAGCTGGATGGGACAGTATAAGGCAGCTTCCCAAAACAAGTCACCCTGATTTGAGACAGATTTACACTTGAGCACATGTGCATAAAATTGTAGCTTGAGGCTCCGTCTAAGTCTAAGATAAGCCACAAAACTTAGGCCTCATTCACACCCTGCCTTTATAGTGTTGTGATACCACTTGAAACTGTCATGGCTCCCCCAAAGAATTCTAGGAACTGGTATTAAGCTACTGAGAGCTGTTAAGAGGCCCTCATTCCTCTCAGTTACAATTCCCAAAGTTCCCTGTGAGGAGGGATTGATTGTTAAACCACCATGGGAGGGGAATATGGGTCTCCAACTAACTTTTGGCACCCTTAAGATCCTACAGCTCCCAGAATTATTTGGGGAAGCCATGACTGGTATTGTAAAGCTTTAAATGTATGGTGTGAATGTGGCCTTAGGCTACTTATCAAAAAGAAAACATGTTTTGAACATTTGCTTTGTGTGCCTCCATGACAGCTGCCTTATACTGTTGGTCCATCTACCTTGGTTTGTTCTACACTGACTCGCAGCTACAGGAATCTGGCAGCATTAAGGTTTGCTGCTAAGGAAAACCATGCTGGAAGAGTCCTGTTGGACCAAGCCCAAGGCCCATCTGGTCTAGCATCCTGTCACTGTACATATGTATGTGTACTGGGAAGCAAAGCCAGCCCTACCATTAGGCTGAATGAAGCAATGGCCACATTGGGGAAAGAGTTCCTCCTCTAGTGGCGGATAGAACGATTTGTGTCATATAGATTGCCTGGCGCTGCCTCAACTATCCTGCTTCCCTCAAGTGCTGGTGGAAGACGCCATGCCATTGCTAGTGTTGAGGCAACGTTCAGCTAGCAGTCTACGTGGCTTCTGTATGAGCACCACCATGTCCTTTGCCTCAGGCGTGTCTTGGACTGGCCTGTACCTCTTGAACTTCTACCGGTCAAGCAACTATGACAGGGCAGGCGTCACTGGAGGGGAACAAACCCATTTGATTGCAAAATATCTGGACATTCTCATAAAAACAGATAAAATCAAGAACACCCAAGTAACTATAAAAGGGAACATGAAGCATTAAAGCAACCATTTCAAAGCAATAACCTATTAAAAAAAAACGTTCCACATGTTTGCACTCCACATGTGCCCATTTGACTTCTTAGATCTGTAAGACCAGCGCTTTAACAGATATCACATAATACTTAATTTGTTCTTGCAGGAAATGAATCCTTTACTGTGACAGCACCTACACTTTGGAACGCCCTGACCACTGATATGAGGCAGGTGCCTTCACTGTGTCATTTACTGCACTATATCCCACCTACCTTCTAAGGAGGTCAAGGTAGCAAACATGGCTTTCATCCTCCCCATTTTATCCTCGCAGCAACTCTGAGATACAGTTGGGCTGAGAGTGAGCGACTGGGTCCAAGGTTGTCCAGTGCGCTTCATGGCTGGCTGGGGACTTGAACCCTGGTCTCCCAGGTCCTAGTCCAACACTCTACACCACACTGGCTTTCAGTGCTAGCTAAAAGGAGGAGGAGGAGGTGTGACTCTAGCAGGTAATATGCATTTATAACATTATCCTCCATGGTTGTAATACAGAAGGAAACAGCAACAGAAGAGACCGAAAATGAGAACTTGGCGACTCTGAATCAGCAACCCTTTGCAGGTGTGTGGCGTTTTCTTGAGGACATATTTTATGTCCACTGAGGAGGCCTCTCCATGTGAGCAAACATGAGCCACTATTCATATTAGTGAATAATATGAGAAAGCCACTATTCATACTAGTTAGCAGGGTGGCCTGCAGGTGGTGTTTACGTCCCCACACGCAAATGTGCTTTGGGAAAGAAGCCCACTTAGACGCGTTTCCTTCAGCGTATACGGCAGCTGAAAACACAATTAATTTGTCTCTTGTTCTTCAAATGCAGGGGGGGGGGGGATAAAAATGAAGGAGAGCGCCCGGTTCATGTGCTCTTTCTTCTTCTGAGACGCAAGGGGACGGGGGAGAGAGAGTAAAGGAAAAAGAGTGGGGCGGGGGGAAGCCACAAATAAAGCTTGTGCTGAACGTTCAGTCTCTCGAAGAGGCCCCTGACTGCAAGGTTACCACGAAAGCAGCCAGAAGCCATCAACTTCATCTGATAAACACAAGCAAGGAAGTAAAGTGTGCATGAAGAAAAGGATGTCATAAGCCAAGCCTGAAAATATCACAAGCCCTCGGTTTTATTCTGCTGTACTTCCTCATGCAGCTTGTGTGCTTTAATAGGTCCTGTTGGTGTGGCATTGCGTGCTGTTAATAGGCACTGTGCAGGCCCCATGGTTCTCTCCTGTAAGTCTGTCCCTTGTGGTGCTTCACTACTCACACACACACACACACACACAGAGAGAGAGAGAGAGAGAGAGAGAGAGTGCAGGGGTGTGAACACCACAATACCAATCCTTCCACTGAGACATATCTTTTAATAATAATAATAACAACAATAATAATAAGAAATTTATTATTTATACCCCGCCCATCTAGCTGAGTTTCCCCAGCCACTCTGGGCAGCTCCCAATCAAGTGTTAAAAACAGTACAGTGTTAAATATTAAAAACTTCCCTGAATAGGGCTGCCTTCATATGTCTTTTAAAGATAGGATAGCTGCTTATTTCCTTCACATCTGAAGGGAGGGTGTTCCACAAGGTGGGCGCCACTACCGAGAAGGCCCTCTGTCTGGTTCCCTGTAACCTCACTTCTCGCAATGAGGGAACCGCCAGAAGGCCCTCGGCGCTGGATCTCAGTGTCCGGGCTAAACTATGGATTAAAATTGAATATCGTTTAATTCAAGTTTAGTTTAGTTTAATTCTAAACATCTCAAGCTAAACTGTGTATAAAAATGTGTATACTGGTGAAAATTGCATACAAAAACGCAATGTTGGGAGAAATTGCTTTTCAAAAGTGGCATACAAAAATCTCACTAAAATGCAAATAAATTTTCATGAGGACTTAAAGATAAAATCAACTGATGTGGAAATGTTGGGAACTAAATTTAAGACTGGAAAATTTAGGAGCCCAGGGAAACTGAAATTAACAGATTTACCAATCCCTAAACCCTGGTAAGGCATCTGAAACTGAAATGGACTGTAGTACACATCAGTACAGTAGTGAATTGTTTTATTGTTGAAAAGAAGTTGGAGTAAAGATAGATGTGTGTGAGGGAGAACAATTGAAAGAGCAACTAGTATTTCTTATTCCATTTGATGCAGATATCTTTTCATCACCTTATGTTATGAATGTATCTGAAAGCATCCTAGATTTTTTTTTTTTTTTTGCCATTAATCATCCATGCTCACCAATAAAACTGAATTGCTTCATGACACTCTTCATGTGGTTGGTTGCAGATTTTGTCCTGCAAAGAACATTTCGTTTGCACAGTGTAGTGTGCCAAGCATTTGGGGGGCAAAGATTAAAGATGAATCAGCATGAGTGGTTACTTTGTTTTTGTTTAAAACGAATAAGGATTTGCATCGAGCCATTTTGTCTACTGTACTGAAATTGCCCCCAGAACTTACAAAGACCTGGCTGCAACTGCGTTCATGAATCACTTTAAGTACCTGTGGGTGATGTGTGCTCTCTTATTCTGGATTCATTGTTACTTACGTAATAACTAATCCAAAATAAACACTACCACTTGTCAAGACTTGTCAGCTTCTCTGTTTATTTCTTTTAAATCTTGCAGGGCTCTTTTTGCATCCTTTACCGTGTCAAGTAGAAGCTCAACAGGTATCGGTATACCTCTCTATGCTTTGAGAAAGTTTGCCAACTGCTAGGCATTTGGCTACTGAAAGGGCAGGAGCCATGGCAGAAAAAAATCCTGGACAAACCCACCTGGTTTTGCTATTACATGCACCGCCTTTTCCAGTGCTTTATTTCCTTAAACAAAAAACAAACAAAAAAACAGTTTAGGGGTACTGTCATTTTGACTCAAGAAAATCACCATTTTATAGTTCAAATCGGGGAAAATAAATACAGTAAGTGGACAAAAGTACAAAGATTCACAAAATGTTTAGGGGTATGCGTCCCCCCCTGAAAAAAGCACTGGCTGTTATAAGAAAAAACTGCTCCTTTTCCCTTATGGGGTACCCATGAGCCCATATAGAAACCTTTTGTAGGTTCTCTATCAGTAAGAGAAAATAACAGAGGCCAACCAGAGAATATTGAGAAGCAAAGCAGCTAGTAAGCTTGATCGTTATTAGCTGTTGCAACAGGATGTTCACAACCACATGCTGGAGGCAGGAGGGACCCAGGACAAAGGTGTGCAAGCCCTTTATACAGACTTTTGAACTGCCCACTCTGGAGCCCAAGACCGCCCCTCCATACATCATACGTACATCACAGAAGGGGTGGACTACAACAGAAATCTGAGTGCGTTGTTTTTATCCTGTCTGCCAGGTTACGTGATTGGATTACCTGGGCATCCTGGCCA